CTTTTTCTTAAAAACCATCGAACGAAAAGCTGGATAACTCATACAGCAAAAGGATAGACTTGAGTCAGAGCCAGACTTGTGATATAATTTAATTGGTTTCATTTCTGATTGCGCATCTTTGAGTTGCACAATCTTGTTTTTGAAATCAATGTCCGGGTTGGCTTCTTCGTGCCAATCCATACCCAGAATGATATCAAAAGGTAAATTATTTTCTATGAGGAAGGATAATTCATGCACAATCTTCTTTCCTTCCCTCGTTCGGAACTGACACTTAATACGATCAACACACTGAGAGACAGTGATCGTACTCTTGTCTACTAACATAGACGTTATAGGTCGAGACAACTCTTTTACCTTCATGCCGAGATGCAACTTACGGATTGCCTTCTCGGAGATGTAGGACCACGTTGATCCTGGGTCCATCATTGCGCCAACTCGCGTTCGTGCGATCTCAACATCTGCAAACAACAACTCGCCCTTAGTCTTTGCCTTTCGAGCCCATGAGCCACGCAATGCTAGCAATTCGTTACCTAGCTCATCAAGGGAGTCATCCAGAGAGACAGAACATAAGACAATATCAGGGCGATCTGGATGATGGGCTAAGGAAGAATCATCCTTTGCCAATTGAGAAGGAGGGTAGAAAGGGATCGTAGGCGCCTTACCTGTCTGTTCGTTCTTACCCTTAATCTCAGTAGGAGCAGATGCTACTCCTACAGGCTGTTCGCTTTTGGGTTCCGGATCTGAGGGCAGTAGGCGATCACATGTCCCGATGTGCCACACTTGAGACATTGCGCATTGTCCATGCGCTCCTGCCAAGTCTTTCTAGTCATACCCATTTCGACTCACGGCTTCCCATCAGCAATGCCAGGGTGCCATGGAAACGCTTTTTATTTCTTCCCTCCTGTCCTGGGTGGTCCTCCCTTATTGGCCACAACAGCAGTGACTTCCCCCTTCCCGGAGTCACTGTTGTTATCATTCTCCTCGTTCGGCCACTTTTCCACTGTGTCGTCATCGAAGACGACAAGTGTGTGGTCTTGGCGCTTCTGTCGCCAGAGAACTCGTTTTTCGTTGTATTGTCTACCTCCTTCTCCTCCAGATTTGACTACCGCTGCATAGGAATTTTTGACTTGGGAAGTGATTTGTTCCCTCTGCAGGGCAAGGTCACGAAATTGCCTGTAGTTATACTTACCGGATTTCGCTTCAGTGACTAAGTGTCCCCAGATGGGCTCAGGCAACGCGCGGGAATAGATGTACAACGCTTGGCTGTCCTGCAGGTTCAATCCAGGAACCTGCAACATTCGGTCAACTTCTCGGGACAAAGCCTCAACTGACGTCCAATGCTTTTGACCAATTGACGTCAACTGGTCAAAGGCCTTGTCGGTCGTCATCTTGTCGAGAAAACGGTCCCTGGTTTTCGCCAAGAACTGTTTCAGCGTCA